CCGATTGGGGAGATACCACACGGCAATGACAATGTCGAATTTCTCGACCTTAAGCACCCAGAGGTTAGCTAGAGTAAAAGCTAAGTTCCTGAGTACAATTGCTCTGCCAACAACTGGAACCAAGCGTGTATTCGAATCCTATCAAGGGTAGTGATGTATTCACAACAGGACTAGACTTTTAAAATCATTCAGCAAAACGTTTTGAACAAAAAATGTCTAACATTTATTTCATTGATTGAATATACAATTGTACAATTAATTTTCGAGGTCTATGCGGCCGAGCATAAGCTGCCTGCGGATATGCGGAAATTAGGGGTGGTTGGCGGTGAGAGACAGGATATTATGTCGCTATTCTTAGGTCCCATGCTGAATGAGGGAAGGGGGCGCTAAACGGATTTTACTGTGGCATATCCCCACCAAAACGATTGCATTTACAACTTCCCCTGAGGATGTTTCACTCACCACCGTGTCGTGGCGGAAGTATATCCGTTGAAATCCTAGCTTAAATATGAGGAAGAAATCCGCAGATTGATAAGCGACCATCAGTGGCAAGCTATCCACATTGTTTCATCGTTCTGGGGTATCCGGAGGTTCCGTGTCAGACTCCTTGTCAATTCACAGAGACGACATGCCGATTTTGTTGAACAATGTGAAAGCTCTAGCTACGCCAATCGTAGACTGATTCCCGTCGTAGCGGACAAACAAACATGAAGTCAATAAAAGCAATAAAACACTTCCTTAGTCTGGGGGATCGAGCTTGCGTGATGGTCACCGTAATTAACATAAATCTACCAATTTCAGTTGTGCCAGTTTCAGCGTTAATGTGAGGTCATTTTGATATCATGATCGAATGCTCATATTAATACACACTCACGTAAACACACATATACATCCTTTATATTGATTGAATTCACTGTGAAGAGGAACAATCAGAACACGGAAATGTGCAATGGAACCATGGTGAAACTACTGAAACAAACTGCACCGTCCAAGTCAACCAACCAGCTACCACCTATTCCTAGTACCAGTTTGCAAACATACAAAGCAATGGTACACCAGATTAGAAGAAAAGCTCAGATGAAGTGTGATCAGATAATCAACACCAGAACAAACTGTGCGGGGGTGGAGGGAGAGATCTTGGCGAGCGAAAACCCAGTCCGGCAATCATGATAATCCGATTAGAACAGTTTTTCATTTGTCGACCAAGTCAGCCGCAGGCTCAGATCGATTCCTACCAATTTGTGCCGATCGCGAAGACACATTCACTAACATAGCACGTTCCACAGACACATGGTTCCGTGTGCAGTCCGGTAACCATATATGGACTTCGCTCCATCGGAGAAATAAAGACTCACAGTTGGTCGCGATGAGGTCTCCGAGGGAGGAATTCAACCAATCCACACAGAAATTATGACCAAATCAGGGACTACGGTCAACGAGAAATAAAAATAAACGGAACGCACACGCGCGTGTACAAATCTGCTGGATTCGGGTAACTTGATACCACAATATGTGAGACGAGAATCGTTGTTCTTTGTTTCTCTCTAATATGCTGCAACGAAATGGATTTGCACGGACACAGACTCTTACAATAATTAAACAAACAAGAGACAAAAGAAATATGCTGTAGATGTTCTTGTTCTTGCCGTTTTCGAATGGATCGATAGTGAACGTCCAATAAGCAAGCAATCATATTTACCCTATAACACGCATTGTCATATATATATAATCACACACGTCTGAATTCAGACTGTGCCAAACAAATCATGGTACAACAATCTTTATAAAAAGAAAAACGTTCCATGGTTTGCATGTGGGCGGGATACTGCCAGATTGTCCAGGTCAAGGCAGGTGAATTCTTTTGAGGAATCCACAACCAGAGGCTTTGGATAGAAAGCAAGACCTGCAAGATTACAGGACGGAGCTTAGAGTTCGCAGTCTATTGGGAGCAGGTGTCCAGTTCCTTCGATCGTATGCCCCTTGGACGGAGTCAAACGTCCAAAGTGTCCAATATATCTTCATGCCCTATTGAGCCGGTGACCACCGAAGCAAGCAGGAAGATGTGTGTGTAGTTTGTACGCCTCCTCATGGTTCGTTTGGAATCAGGTTTTTTGGCCAACTCCCCTAGGTGAACTACCAATGGTCCACCAACCCGGTTATAACCCCGGATGTCGGCCATTCGCTCCCTTAATTTAGTGGGAAACATCGCCACGCGAAGGTAGTGAGTAGGGCTTCCTCAGCAGAGTTGTCACATTATTGACAATGGGTTATCCCTAAGCGGTCAACATTTCACGCTACAAGCGGAGTAATTCTTGGATAAAACCAGGGAACATTGAACAGAAGAATAAGCAGCAGTGAAGTAGATGGGTTCAGATTGAAACAGAATTTAACTATACCTTTTTCAGTTTAAGATGTCCGAAATCCAATTAAAGAAGTCGCAATATGAATTTAAGATGTCCGAGTATCAATTAAGGAGGTCATGTTGCTATGTGGATAGTACCTTGCACAGTACAGAGTGAGAACATAGCAACATGACATCTTAAATTCATATTGCGACATCTTTAATTGGATTTCGGATATCTTTAACTGAAAAAGGTATAGTGCCTCATTTGCTGTCAGTATGTACGACACAACTTTTGCATTATTGCTTGCATAAGAATTGAGCGAGTACATTTCTTCGTGGATGGCCTAACGAAAAAATAGCCGACATAAGAAACTACTTCGATCTGGTCAATAGTCGACCGACATTGATCTGATACGTGCAGACCAGAGCGGTCTACTCATTAGAGCGTGCTAATCCGGGATGGTGCACGAAAGCCACGCCAATTGTGCAACTAGGCCGGACAGAGAACTGGAAGGTCAGAATCGGGATTCCCAAAGGCCCTACCGCACCGGTCAGGGGAACCTTCGGATTCGACCGACTGACTCATCTACACATGGCCGATCACACAGACACACACTTCCTTCATCGATGCACCCAAATGCATGCAGACACCAAATTTCACGACGTGCAAACATCCCACAGTTGGGACACCGCAGGAGGCATCAAAACAACGGCAAGGCGCGTAGTATGAGAACGTGGGAAATGTCAGTGGGCTTCGCACACCCCATTTCGCCACTCTAGACGAGTGCGGTCATGCACGCTGGTTTAGCAGGTCAATGTAAGCTGTGTGCGTGAGGGGGGACGACCAGAAGCTAGTCAAGGCAAAAACATCGCATGAAAATCGGACGAAAAGAAACGGACCGAATTTTTTTCACGGCTGAGGGAGGGGTGGAGGCTTGGTAAAGTGATCGGCAAAACGGTTCCTATGCGAATATTAAGCAGTAAAATCTTCCAAAGCCGCCTCAGACAAGGAAAAAACAGTTGTTCATTGATTACTTCAGTGTGCCACAAATAAGATGATATTACCGGTAATACCGGTGACAAAACCTGACAAGAAATTAGGTTACACACAAGTGACTGTGACTAGGCCAGTCTTCGGGCGACCGATAATGAAAATCGCTGACTAAAGCTAACACATCGTGTTCAGACTGGAATGACCTCAGATAAATCGATCATTAGTTCGTTGCATCCTTCGCCAACACAATAAACTTATTACCATGAAAAGCACCAGCGTAAGATTGATTACAAAAGTCTGCACCGGGAGAAGTGTCAGTGTTTTGTCTACCAATAACCAGTAATGAACAATGGGAACTGTCGCCGCATCGGTCATTTTAACTGTTAGGTGGAGCCGTTGTGAAACGAAATGAACTAGTTAAAAACGTCATACCGGAAGTCGTACTTGGTGCGTGTCAGTTGCAGACGAGATCCATCAGACTGGGTCTACTTCGAGGTCAGCCCGTCCGGAATAAACCGACTACTCTATGGGTAAATGAATGCAGTCCGGAAATGAATGGGTTGCGGAAGAAGGGAGTGGCAATATGGGATGGTCGTCAAGATACCTTGGAGAAAGTCAGATGAAACAATGAGGATCGGTCGAAGATACACAGACCCGAGGGAGTATTACCACCATGATCAGACACAAACGTTGCAATCAACGAAATTTTAACGATGGTCCTCCTTAGTGGAACTGAAAACATCTACACGTCGAGTATTTCCCCAGTTCTGTTACTCCACTAATCGGTAGCCATAGACCTCAAAACACCAAGGTGAAATTCGGATTTTTGTTTCACGATTGTTCTAATGCGCCCATTAAAATGAGGTGCGAATTCGTGGAGTATTAAATGGAGAGTGGACTGTGCGATTCCAAGATGGATGAAGGGGAGTGGTCGTTTCTAGTAACACGAAGACAAACAGTTGCATCAATATTTACAGGTAAAGTCATTTTGAGGGCAGTGCACTTCGTTTATCAAAACGTGCCGGTAGAGGTGATGAGGCATACAGTTTAGATCAGATGAATTGGAATTACGATAGAATCTCTTGGTAAACAAAGTGTGATGTCAAAAGCACCAATCGGGTAGTACGCACCTTAAATTCAACGCAACAGATTTACTCGAATTTAAAACGTCATAAGAAAGATGATGAAGACTGAATGATTTAAGCTGTTATAACCGGTGTGCTCCAAGCCCTGAGGTTTGACATTCGGACCATACGTTATTAGTCAATCTCGACGTTAGGCAACCCTGCGTCGACCTTGCTACCGATCGTCATGCATGGGCCGTCATCATTAGAGATATCCAAGAAGCCGACTTATACTCCCGCAGGAGTTAGTCGATCAAAAGTAAAAGTAAGTTAGGCAACCCCGTTTCATTCCCGTATCATTCAATCCTAGCTTTAGGTGGTGGTCTAACGTCTCTACTGTTAGTCACAGCATTGTATGGTGTTGAATAATCCAGCCAAAGTTTAAGTGGGTCATTACAAAGTATTCGGATTGAGCGGCGCAAACACGGTGCCAAAATGAAATGGGTGTGATCAGTTTTTGAAAGTGAAAATCACGTCCTGATACCCAATTTAGTGTGACCGATTGGTGGACGAAACATTTGCTGTGAGGGAAATTTTCTGACTTGACCTAGTGTAAACATTCCTGACGATCGAACGTCATTCAGTCAACAACTCTCCGAAGACTTCGACATCCACACTACTGAGCCTGATTTCGTACTTTTTGCCCCTCGATTAGGTGTTTATCCAGCAGAGGGAATCAACCAGATGGTACCCAGTAAACTGAGAATACCGAGCCATCTCAAACTATTCAAAATAGCTTGTGCAATTTTCGATAGTATCGAGGAATGTATTTACTTGCGCAGTCATAAATATTCCATTGTCGTTTGATGATCATCGCCTGACAATTTTTCGAGCAAAGAGGGAAGGGTCAACGGAAGATTTTAAAACAAACAGAATTATAAAAATAAAAACACAGAAAGCAAATAAAACAATTCAGAGCACAAAATGAATAGATGGACGAGTGCCACAGTACACGACAGTCAGCGATAACTCAGCGTTCTTAACCACTGATGAAGTAGGTTGCAGAGCCCCCAACCAGGAGGTCTAATGCGACTCGACTGGCTGGGTCTGTTTTCAAGACGGTGAACACGGAAATTCGTACAATAAAACTGTCGAGTGTTTCTACCGAACATTTCAAAAGGGTTTAGTTTACCAGACAAACTGCAGCTCTCGCATAAAAAAATCCAGTGGCAGCTCGATGATAGATCAAAAGTACACCAACACCACCACCCACACACACCGATTTATCCGAAATGAAAAGACTAGAAAGAACTTACCGAAATACACCTTCTGTCACCGGTCCATTTAATCGAAGCAACTCTTCGGTGAGGAATATTTGTATCCATGGCAAACGGAGATGCGGAAACCGGTAGGCTTGGATACGCATCATTTCCGTTAGGGTACCTCCGAAAATGGATGGTTTGAGAATGAAATCCTACAAAAGCGAATGCGTAAAACATCGTTAACGATCCGTGCACCAGGGGAATCAGTGAATTTAGTAGGTGAGAGAGAGTGACAGCAACAACAGCAACAACTGGGGCACCGAGTTCGCAAACCAGGTGGCAGACTTGAATGCACAATGGGTAGATGTAATAATTTATGGCAAGTGCACACAGACGGAGTGACTAGCCCGTTCAAATTCACATAATAGAAATTGCACCGGGACGTTGCACTGAAATCAATTGAGTAATCGAACTCACGATGCATATTACCAATGGTCTACGTCTGAACACCCACGATCATGTTCAACAACAACCAACGAAAAGAGAGTATCATCAAATAAACTCGCTTGGTTAGTGATGAGTATCCAGAATCGTTGAACAGTCAAAATGACCTCCAGTATAAGTAAAACAAGAGAAATTTAAAGAATCTCACGTTCGCTCCCGATGTTTCATTAAATAACTATATCGAACTGATCCAGTGTGATGCACAGTTGAGATCCAAGGAAGTAAAAAAACGAAAAGAAAATTTTCCATTAAATCGAAAGATTTCCGTGATTCATCAGCAAATACTGCCCGCGTACAAATAAGTTGAGGGGAAATTTTATTATCGCAGATTTTGTCACAAAAATGAATGAACTCTTGGTTACTGGACTACGTCTTGTTAAACATGACTTATGTGATTCGACCCGCTTGTTCGCAAACCGGTTATATATATATATATATATAATTTATAAAGTGAAAATTCATGCGAGATGTATTCTGATCAAGGCTAAGACTATACCTTACTTCTCCCAATAAAGAAGCAGTACGGTATTAAAGAGGCTCGAATAATATAGCATCTTTCGCGATGTTTGAAACGTTTGTATTCCTCAGTTACTTTAACTTGAATAAATGTGAATGTGCTCATAGCATAATAAAATGGTAGTGAGTTCCTTTTTTTTCATCGAAAGAAGAAATTATCAAAGAGTTTTTTACCCACGACTGGGAATATTCGGAACAAAGTGTACGGGGTTCAACACAGCAATAGTGTGAAAATCGATACTGATCTGAAAGTGGAAAAACATAACGTAAACAAACTACCCAGGGATCATGTTTAACACTGTGAATTAATAGAAGCTGGAAGGAATGAGTTGTGAAAAAAGGAAAAATAGACAGTTATTTAGGCGTTTATTGACTGAACACGCCAACAGGCCACTGTAATCAACCTCGCCGCAGGGAGTATTTTCCACATGGGGGAACTGCAGAGCACAAATCGATAACATTCGGTATACTGCAGGTTTACCCGTAACTTTACAACCGAATGCCACCGTGTTAGAGCGATGTGTCAGCGTGAAACTGGGGAGCAAGGCGGTTGCTTATTGGGATACAATAATCCCGGAATGGGGTTCATTCAATTGTATCAATGATTATAATGGGCATTGCAAGGGAGACTGAACACACCCTTCACAAATGATGATCATGTTCTACATGATCAGGTATACCGTAACTAATACTTTGAATCTTGAGAAGGAGCGGCATATCTATAGAATTGGTTTTACGCCTCCTTCTTTCGAGGTTTTTAGAATATAAGGGATCTAGGTTCAAAATTCTTCGTAAACAGTAAAGATGTGACCCGGACATTATGTTCAGTTTATGAATATTTGTCCTCAATAAACTAGGACCACAAAGGACAGTTTGGAATAATTTTCTGCGGGGAAGCACAACATTGGAATTGGTTACGGGATCCACTTTTAAGTCAAAAAGAGCTTCCTCAAAGGATAAGACTTATGAAGCAGAGTAGAGAGGGACAATTCAATACCTTGTAAAGTTTGAGGACCTCAAACAGTACTGTAATCAGTCCAGTGTAGTACGCCAGACTCCTCGGCACAGATCAATGAAATGAAGATAATTCACATCTCATAAACTTGATAAAAAGAAACTGAAGTTTCGAGCTCAATGATGTCCACGTATTTCCATAATATCTATTGATTTATCATTGTTAAATTTTCGCTTTTACTCAGTTTCTCCATTAAAAAGTGACCAAAATGTTAAACAGATGCAACGTACTATCGTACAAAGTAACCATTCGTTGAACTAAACTTTTCCGTGGTCCGTTTGAACGGTCCCATAACACCGGTCAATTCTAACAAATCCGAACGAAACCATACGCGACAGGACGAATAATGCACCTACGCAACTACCGCACGCACACAGACCAGAGTGACTATCAGGGTGGAACTGGAGCTGCAACCCGAATGTTCAGTCTAAAAAGAATTCGAGTAGGTTGAACAGACACCAACTCTTGACAGCCTTAAAGCTTGTGCATCTTTGTTAATAGAATGTAGTTGTGATTTACGATTCACAACGACCGAATAGGTGATGAACTGTAGATCACAGTTACACGAATCGGTACGGGAGGAAATAAATCAGAGGAATTCACACTTAATTCAAAAGTCCGATGAGGTCAGTTTACACAGTGTCTAAAACACGTAACAACTTTTTTGTTGGAACGCAGGTGTTGAGTACTGCGCATTGAAAACACACCGAGTTCTGTGATCTACTTTGGTAATACGGACTGCAACGACTGTACTTGATTGATGGAGATAGGGAACAAAATGAAATGACCCTCGTTCTTGAATCTAAAGTGGAGCCTTCAGAAATCAGTTGCGATTTATACTCGAAGTTGCAATGTGACATATTTTTACTCCGCTCTACAGCAATTTTTGCTGGTCTACGACGCATAAACCAAACAATCCTGCGCAGATGATTAGTCCACGCCGGTCAACTTTCGTGTATCCGATTACATGAATTCGCAGTAAAAAAAATATGTTCTTCTAATAAATGATAAAACACGTGCTTTGTACATCAACCCTGCAAATCGTATGTATAATTCCAACCAGAGTTACCACTTATAATGGTATACATAGAGTATTGTCTGATCTATATTGCAAGGTACATCACACACACACATTCAGTGATTTACGAATTACGACATGCAATCCGCTGAACTTTGCTGTTATCTCATCTTACTCTTTTGCCTGTCGAAATTTCCTGCTAAGAGTGACCGTTATGTGAAGTACTCTATTTCTGGGCCTCATTCCTTCAGGTCGGAAACGATTCTATCATCCAAAGTAATAAATTTCCCGAATGTTTGCTCTTTGTCAAAGAGGTTGTATTTGCATTGATGAAAACCAGAAAGGTTAGACGATTGTGATGTCCCCCAGTGCACTGGAGACCGCGGCGATTTTCATGAGAAATTGCCATTGTGAGAGTCACATTGGTGCATGCTGTGTTGCTACACCCGCATTAAATGCCATTTGTGAAAATGCAATGGGTAGGTTGTGCGTGATAAACAGAATAGATACCAACGGACACATACAGAGAAAACAACATGGAGAGGGAATGTATGCAGTTGACAGGCGCATTCTGTCAGTTGCGGGCTCATTGTCAGACGACAGTACCATACGCATAGCGACGGGGTCCAGATGTGGACTAGTCGACAAAACTGACTTGTCCCGGGAGCAAACGGCCTCAGATTCAGTATTAAAAAACTGGCTATCATCATCATCATCATCATCATCAACTACCTCAGGACCTATGGCCAACAGACGCAGCACTACTACCATATTGATTCACTAGATGAGTCCATATTCCAGTCCACACAAATATGGTGTGAACTACTACTTTACCCCGTACTCCTGGTGTGGTTCATTTCAGTTTCAGTTTTTACAACCATTAACCATGCACTTTCGTACGCGGGTTTTGGTTGCTGTCTTTTCGTGCCCCATTTGGATAAAACAGCAGAATGATGATTGGAATCTTAAAAGCAAATTCAAGTGGAGAATGGAGAAATTATATAGAATGGAGTTAGGGGAATAATGAGTGGATGCACGAGCGCCACTGTTTGCGATACCCAGTCATATCACTCGGTGTCTCTAACCATCGGTTACAATCATCCCGAGGTCCCCAGCCAGGGAGCCTAATGGGACCTAAGTGACTCCGACTCATGGTCAGGGTTTTCATACCTTCGTGTCAGGTCTTCGTTTGACCATCCTTGACCTTTTTCAAAATCTAGTGTGGACCGATTCAAAGATGATGCACTGGAACAAGAACCCAAAGAACTTGGAGGATCCTATAGGTGTCAGGAACAAATTATTTTCGCTAATAGAACAAAATCTTACTCTGAACCGAGAGCTGCAAGACAATTCTCTTGGAGGAGGAGGAAGTTCGAAGATCAGCGGATCACAAATCTGAATACGCCTGAATGAAGTCGAATTCGAGCGCTGGATTCAAATGATAACTAGGTAATGGACTGGAATGATGAGGTTGAGAGAGATCAGCGTCTGCACTGGTGGCCACCGCTAATGTATGGATCAGAACAATGTATTTGTTTTAATAACATAAGATCTACTGTCACAATGACCATCTTCACGGTTTTATAAGGGGCGGTCCAACGAGTTCCTCGTTGAAAATTAGCAGTGCGCTGTAAGCGTCATGCCGATTCAACACCGGAGAGAAACGTACAATGAACTCCGAAGAGATAGCGACCAATCGTAATTTTCTCAAAAGACGAAACAGCTTGTGGTGTTCAGTTAATTGTGTACATCTTAGATTGCAAACCCTACCGCCGACAGACAGTCTGAAGCGCCAAACAATTGCTTTTCAGTGTGCTGTTATTGTGAAAAACTCACTGATGTGGCGAGACGTATCGCAGGATTCACTTTGTGAAAATTTAACAGATTCTTAACGCTCAGATATTTGACGTGACACTACTAACGTGGTCTAATTTACACTGACGAACATTGAAAAATAAACTGATCAGAACTGACGCAACAACGACAGCGACCAGAGTTAATGTTCACACTGTTCAGTTCAATTCAGTTTGTACAACCATTAACCACGTACTTCCGTGCGCCGGTTTTGGTTGCTGTCTTTTGGCTACCCATTTGGATGAACCGTAGGAGAAGGACAGGAAGGTTGAAAGTAGAGTGGAACAGAAAATGGAGAGTTTTAGTGGTCTAAGGTTGCAAAGAAATTATTCACAATGATTTACAATATAATTGTGACAACTGAAAATCGCTCGCTAGTGTCATACCACATGTCAACAGAATTTCGTCGACTAATTGATTGTTTGGTCAAAGGCTGACCTAATAGATCAACACGTGATCTGTGTTGTGATGGTTCTTTTGTTTGACCCGATTCGCTGTAATTGTCAACATCCACAACTCCTCAGAATGAAAAATTCACATCTCGTCACGTCGTATGGTTTCTCGCACAATGTACTTACCAAATCAATCTCCAGCGACAAGGATGAAGTTGACCGTCCACCTCTGCAACCTCGTCCCCAGCTAAATGACATGGAGACATTAGTTAAACAACAGAGCGCATCATAACTCGTTCAATCAGACGTGGTCTTTTTTCCACAAGAGTGAACGCCAATCAAGAGGAAAGGAAGCAATGCTAAATTGGATCACCATGGACGAGTCTGTAAAATCCCGTTTGAACAGGAACAGTTTGCTCACCCTAATATACGTCATAGGAAAAATGTTTAACACTGCTGCAACCCAATTTGTGTATTGTACTGCACTGTAGAGATTTATTTATACCACAAGATGAGCTAGATGATAAAGTTAGACGTTAAAATCGATCGCACACTTTAGCTCGTTCCGTCACGTAAGGAAGGGGATTGTCTAGACTGTGTGAACGGCTAAGAATGACGAAGAACGGTTTTAGATAGAGTGTAGGGTTCTCATGAACCCGAAACGAAAACACTGAACAAAAAATGTTATTTTACCAGTTCAACGATCAAACTGTTGCATGAAATCAAAGAGGAACGAGTGTAAAATGAAAGTTTTGTTTTAACAGATTGGCAACAACATGTGAAAAAAGATAGAAAAATGGATAGATATGAATTTTAAAGGATTGCGAATGTCTTATAGACCACGAACAATAGGGGCATTAACTTTACAAAAAGAACCGAAGGTATGACAACGATTAGTGGCAATAAACGATCCTAGTTCTGAGGCATTAGCGGGGTTTAGCTCTGTACGAAGGAACATAATTCACTGTTGTTTAAAGTAAGAGGAAAGTAATGGGGGCGGATTAGAGAGGTTACAAACATATAAGCAGCATCAAATTTACGGTGACTTGTGAGAAGTGCGGTCCCAATGAGTCGCAATGGGTAACGAATTTGTTGGACAATGTGAATAACGTTGTTCAATTCAGAGAACCGAATATAATAAGCTGCGCCACGAATAAAGACGACCATGATGATCACTGACGTCGCCAAATAAACCAAAGTAAATAATTTAATGCCTCTGTAAGTAGCCCCAGTAAATAGGTCCACAGTAAAACCACTCCGGCTGTAGATAATGGAACAGACCATTATCCTAATGTCAACCACAATGAGCACCACAACGGAGACAGAATGGAACTTGTTATTTCACCAGTTTGACTGCTGTGTATTTGCGCGTGTGCAATGCAGTATGGTCGATATCGGTCAGAGCGGTATACACACAAACTATCGAGAGTTTGCGAGAACAAAGAAACGTATATTTCGGTAGTCAACTATATGGTGTGATTCTATTCGCCTACATAAATGAGCATCGTGAGAAGAAAACGATGTACATTTTTCCTCCAGGACAATAAAAACCGTTACACATTACGGATTAACTACGGGCTTCTACTATGTTCATCAAACAATTGAGTGATTCAAGTACAAGGCTTGTACAGAGTTTGAGAAGGGATTGCACGTAGATAAGCAGCACAGAAAGGCAATTACGAAATTGGGTTTTAGTACATATTACAAACTGGCCTCAACGGAAGGTTGTTATATCGAGGTTAACACGGCCGGTTACTGGCATGGACTGTGTTTAAAAAACACCGAGCTCGTCAATTTCCTGATATTCAGTGATGATTTAATACCTCATTGATCAAAGAAAATCAGTTCGAGCGGTCGATACTATTGGTAATGTCAACATGCTCAAGATCGCCTAAGTGATTGCAATCGATTGACGGAAATTCGTTCTCTTTTAGCAAATAGATTTGTTGATCACTTTGTCTTCGCCTTGGTGAACCTTCCTCCATTCATGTTGGTTTATTAGTGCTCTATTCTCTTTTCAAATTTATCAGGGGAATGGCCTGTCTCAACCGGTCCACAAGTCAGGTTTTACTTGAGAATGTCAAACCTTCCAGTTGAAGCTCACAACAGCTATTTCTACCACCTCATGGTCATTGTTTTCTTTGTTGTGATAAATCATTCTTCAACTCAAAATGAAAGTTTCATCGTAAACTAACAATGAAAGTGAGATTGATCGGAACGAATATCGGTGGCACAGATTTAGGTGTTACTCGTAAAATTATACATTTTCAGAAGCAGAGATCAGTAAAGGAGAGGCGCAGATATCCTGAAATTATCAACATTTGACCCACAATATCAAAATTACTTTGGTGATTTATCTGCGACAGTGAAACACTCAACCACTGTATCCTATATATCGATACGCCGGTTTCCATGAGGAAAAGCAAACCATTACGATCGAGTAAGCAAAGATCAGAACCAAAAGCTTCCTACGGACTGTAGCTGGATAGAGAATTCTGAATGCCTGTTACAACCGAATTGTGATAGCACAAAACACGGAGGATTTGATCAATTCGGTTGCTTTAAATGGTCTTCGGATATGGATTCGCTGATGAAACCAAACAACTACAACTTTATATTAATCCAAGTTTATCAAAACATCATCGCACTATGTTAGTTATGTGAAAGCTGAACAGGCTAATCTGGCATGCAAATGAGTTAAGCTCCGTCGTCAGTACAGCGACCGGGAGATCGTGTGTTAGAATCACACTAACACCGCAACCCATTTGTCCCATTCCAATATGTCCCCTAGGCAGTTTCAATAATGGTCGCAGCCTCTTTCCTGAAAGTTGATTGCACACTTGTATATTCCATAGACAAAAAGAAAATCACAGATTGTTTGTATTTTCCACTATTATACCTGTCACAGCGACGACCAACCACCTAAGGTGTTGATCAGGCGTTCACACATACAACCGCAGTAGAATAAAAACAGCGCATCAACTATCAGAGTAAAATTGCAATAGTCTTACTGCCATTAGAGCATAAAGAGCACAAATTTACTCAACAGCGTATAAGGTCTGAAAGGATTTTTATCTAAATGCATCTGAGACTCAATTTGGTCAACAAAAAATAACCGACGAATTCTTTTCTTTTCATTTTCACTTCATTTTATTGAGTATACAAATTGTAATAGATGTACACAGACGAAGATAATAAGCTAACCACTACATAGAAAAACAACCGGATGACCACTCACTTTGACATGACATATCTCTTCAATCGACGGCGCCTCCAAAAGCTTTCTAGGTCCAACATTCAGGGCGCGAACAAACCAGCGAGGAGCAACCCGAGCGAAATGAGCCGCTGTGGGTCGATCCCACAGACCAATGGAAAACTCAAATGGCCGCGGTGCATTAGACTGAGAGTTATTCATCCGACGTGCCGCGGACGTGGACGCAGTAGATCCCAGCAAATCGGATTCAAAGAGATCTGAGGATTCGCTCAGTAGTGCATCGCTTCTGGTGGAACCGATCGTACTGGCCCTAGTGGTTGTGGTGGCCTGGCTGTAGCTCACAGTATGCCCATTCGAAACTGGTTTCAGTTCGGAAACGATTGGGGCCAAACCCGATGCAATCGCTGCAGCTGCTTCCAAACTGGATGGGACTTTGTTCAGCGAATGTGCAGACGGGAACACCAAACTCACAGCCGCATCAGCTCGTGCGTTCAGGTAAGCCAATAAAGCATCACGAAATTTGCTATTCGGTGGAAAGTAGTACAAACACACGCAGATCAATGCCCAGCCGTTCGTCAGGCTTTTTCTTTTGGTGGAAAGCGAGGGGGAAGGAGAAAGAGTGAACAAAAAACAACAATGTCAGTCACGTCCTGAAATGAAGTAGACCAAAAGCGAGGAAATATAGCCGTGATCCAATACGCATACGTATGCTTGTGATGTGACATACAACAAAACAAAAGGAACCGATGCAGTATGATTTCGAACCCTCATGAAGAATGAAGTTTTGTGAATGTGTGCGCCGCTCAAACTCAAACTTCAGACAGCAGCAAGAAATCCNCGCGCACACACACACACACACACACACACACACACACACACACACACACGACTAGCTACTTCCGCAGTAACATAGGTATACAGAACACGTTTGGCTAACATTTGGAGCACCGACCTGCCTGTGGGTAATAAACCAAGTGGATGGAAGAGGCCGTTCAAATCGTACACTTGTAGATACCGCATGTTAGAAGTCGTATCTAGGACGATCAGATTTCGGACCTGAGCCCAACTGGTAACACACGTCGCGTTTTCGAACTACAGTTTCGCACATGCAGCTTCTGTAGAACGAAAGTCCAGTCGTTTATGTATTCGAAGCGTAAGATCGAATTCGCATTATGCATCGAGGGATGTGAATAGCGATTGGCGCCAAGATAAAAAACTTCATGTACTAACGGTATGCACCCACATACAGGTGGAGACGTAATCAGTAGTTCGAGGAGTGGTACTCCGGAAATGACCAGAGAACGATGATCTGTAATGGTAGATTGCGTGAGTCACATTAAATTACACATTACTTTTAGATAGTCACATTAACATATATATATATATATATATATGTATATATATATATATATACTATCTATACACCTACAAAGTTACCAAACAGAATGTCCGAAATCGAGTTACGTTTAGTATTCAGATTCCATATAAAAATACCGGTGTTTGAAACGAAGCATAACGAATATTGGAACTTTAGGGAATACCGGTTAGCAACGATTTTAGCTAAGAATGAACATAATACCAGCTGACAAACGATTGATTGAAATTAGCTGTCGAATGCATCCAAAGCGGCTGAAATGCCTTATACATGGATTCGCGATGCTAAAACAGTCCTGTCGAATGCGAGAAATCAAAAGCATATGGAAATAAGCACCGCTTGGGAAGACATGAGTTCAAACATTGGGTTGATGTATCCATATTTGAGAATTCATATGTTCCCTGTAAAATTTACGCACACACTCACTGTGGAGTTCGATTACGAGTATTTGGAACCGGAGTCAGAAATATTTGTCCGAATTTAGGTTGAGTATTTGAATGCTGGATGCCGCATTCAGTAAACATGGAAACTGAATGAAATCACAAGCACTGAACGGGGTAGAAAAAAGGCTAAACTAACTTGGGACGCTCAACTGTGAGCTGGAAAATGCACAAAATCAAAAGAAGACAGACGATTTTCGTCGTTAGAGTTCGGTGATGGGATGAGCGAAATAACCATAATGCCAAAAGGGAATCAGCTATGACTAGGACTTCATAGGAGAATATTCTGATGATAATGATTACACAATCCCTTACAGTAGCAGTAGCAGAGTATGCGGAATGACCGAACAGTACGAAAACAAAACAGAACAGTTCATCTGAGTCACTTATTAATCAGATCACAGATATGTGCGTCATGCTAGGTGACTAGCCAGAGACGAGGAAACATCTTCCCACGGTCAATTCGTTCCGCCTGTATCCCTAACCTACGAACCCAGTCCCTACGCAGACGCGCATAAGGTCACTTTCAATCACAGCTCTCTCTCTCGGGTGAAAGAGGCACATCGAGGCGATCGCGTAGACCATACTTGCAATACACAGTCAAGTCACTGATGCGCATACAGACCCTGACGTCAACTGTGTGACCTGGAAATTCCCATAGGGACGTTAGTATTCTTGACCTGATATTTCCTCTGAACAACAGTGATGAACTGCAGATATTAGCAATCAAACGCAGCCAATAATTGAATATAATTCAAGCAAACAAGACAGTCTTCACGGTTTTGCGGTAAAGGTATTGTTCACGATATCGCATGGTAAACTGGACCCATCAAATTCGGAAGGAAGTGGGGCCAATGGTAGGAATTCACTCGGACTCCACTACAGAGAGTGAACGGGATGAATTCCCCATATAGGAAAAGCTCTCTCTCTCCAACCTTGAAAAGACTACATTTCAATGAAATCCAAATTGGACGGTGGTACAGACGTTTTTAATGCGTGAGGACGTTTTAGATGACCAACAAAAAGTCACCAGTCAAAACGGGTTTTAGCGATATGCCCAGAGCATTGAAGTTCGTTACCGGGATAGAGCTCAAGATGCGAAGAACCGAACCGTTTGTCGAACGGGTTGGTTCAACCCGGCAGCGTCTTAAATCGAGCATACTGTTTACATCACTTGGTCAAACCTGACTCCTTGAATGCATACGGATGTATCAGGAGCATTGGTAGCCGGTATATGAAGACGGAAAGTGAAATGGTCAAACGATTACGTAACGGGCCGAACAGAAAATAGAGCAAAAATGGAAACTGTAAGTGGCACATTCATGCTTGATTAACTGATTCAAGTAACCTGCCAAATATAGATTATACCCGGATACCGCAAAATGTAGCAGTCGAGATGAAGATGAAATGTCTGTGCGCGCGAAATATCTTACTTTCTCAGGCTACCTCTCTCCAAAATTGATTGTGGGAACTACGGTTTTAAAAGTGAAAATTTCCCATTTTGTCTGTTGTTCGTTTTGGTCAAACACCCAACCATATACCCATGACAAAATCGTAAGCAGATTGGGAAACGTGCCACCTAGTTCAGCACAAAACAACACAATTCCCTTAATAATCAGTCTCAAGATTAGTTGATATTTTGTTAGAACAGTCTGGCAAATCTAGAGGAGCCAGAAGAGGATACTTGGATTGCATCATTAACCGACTGTGGTGGTGTATACTATTGTCCGTGCCACCGCGTAAGAGGAACGCTCCTGAGGTGAATCAATTAGGACACAAACGGCAGGGAACAGCAAATCGTGGATGTGCAGAGAATCGCACGGTTTCTCTGGAGTCACGTGGACGTAATCTATGTGTGTTGGTCTCATCGATGAAGTGTTCACTCAAGTTGGGAAAATCNGGGAAAATCAAAATATGTTCAGATCGAACATGAATTACCCAACGAGTAATGCGAAACCGGAAGCCGACCCAACAAGCATCGTGCAGCAATGCATTGCGTAATTACCATTAAGTGCTTTTGTATGTCATTGTGGTCAGGGGTTTTTAATTTGACATGAATCTCAACTAACATATGTAACCGATGCATACATGCGCATAGACAACAGCGCAATAACATTAACAAACAAGCATTCACAATCCCAACGCCCATCTCATCAAATAAATTAGACATAATTCCAAAGCTCCCAAAAGGATGGAGTTGGGAAAGAGGGGAACAACCGAAACTAATTCAAGCAATGCCCTTCAAGAAGTAATGTACTCCGAATAAAAGGTTAAAACGCATCCGGCTTGCGCTGAATCTGCATGGGAGAAGAAACTTATTGACTGGGCATGCGAGAGTTCACCAACATGACGAGTTGACAAGTGCGATCAACACAGTTTGTTTAGGTCTTGTCATAGCGCACAAATGTTCGCATTCACAGTTTTTGTTCAGTAACATGCAATGCAGTTCTCGTATGTAATATACAAATTGCAGTTGCGCATACAAACGTTGACATGTTTGTGGAGAATCAGTTCATGGTTGTTCTGATTGGTTGGGTTGTTTTAGTTTTGTTTCAGTAACATGTCCGGCAATAGGTCACTAATTGGTTTCATGACATTACGTCTCCAACAATCCTGATAAGTATCGCTCTGATTAGTGCTATCACTCTTTATGCCCTGCTGCCTCCAATTCTAACCACTTAGCATTTCGATTAGGAGACCCGTGTAAATCCGATTTTCTTCAACATACATTTGGCTGTCATTGCTGTGCTGTGAGGCCTGGAAAGAAACCCCATTTCCGTTGATTGCTCTGAGACGTTATAAGGTGTTTATTGCAAGTGATCGTTTGATCACGTGATATCAAATTGCATCTGATCTAGTTTCGTTGTGACATGAACTGACCCAGATCCACACTTAGCTATTGTCATAGTGCATTTAATGAATCAGCAAAAGTGCATCCATCTGGGCTCCTGTTACCATTCGATTAATCCTATACTGAAACTAACTCAATAACTGGAGTGCCTGCTAGCATGGTGCGGTGGCCGCTATAAGTAGCGTAGGTGACGATAGTGTTGCCAAGATTTATCTTTGACGGCTCTGCCGGGAGGAAAGGGCTATTAACCGTTTACCATTAGCCATAAAAGGTTAGTGCCGTTTTCAAGGTTAGAAGGGAAAACAAAATTGAGACGGAGAGGCTCTTAAGATAATTAGAGAAAGATCCTGGTGGTTGGGAACGTAAAATTGCAGCATGTGCTTGATGATCAGTGAGGGAGAATATAAAATTAGCTTGTATTGATTCCATTTCGAGGTTCCGTCTAATTCAACCATGAACAGGAACAGATCGGACAGATAAAGCACGAATCTTGATGGTTGTAAGCGGAAATTTGCACTTCGCGACAGCATCAATGCGGCAGTGGTCAGTTTGCGATTTGAGGGGAGGGGTTTAATCAGTAGTTTATATCTGGTAACTTAAGTATTAAGACTTCATGGTGTGTAGGACATTTTCTAGCTGACGTGTATTTTCTGGTTGAGGCAATCGACCTACGAGCCAGAAAACCTACCAATGCCCGAAAGCACAACCTCAGTTACTTCTACTCCAACAGTCCAATCGGCCTTATATGTGGTCAATCAAATATCGAAAGGGATGAAAAACCGCTGATTAGTTCGAGTCTAACGATTTACCACTGTGAGACAGTTCATCAGTCAACAAATTTCAACTTGATCTGGAATGCATGGGTAAAATGTCTAGGTAACAAACAAAAAAACAAAATGAGTAATATTGGTACATCGACCAGCGGACGAACCCCAGACTTATTTTCGATTATTTGCTCAGCGCGGTTAGTGCACCACATTCTAGCATGACCTTGTAGAAGGGATTGAGAACCGTGAGTGTCAATTTTCTTAGATGAGAAAAAGGTTAAAAGTTTTAACCGATGAGAGAGAACACATGACCTTACGAAAGGAAGTTTATCGATTCACTGTTTAGGGGGGGATAAGTGGACTGTACAGGAACAGTAGACGGAATTCAAGTGTTACCTCAGTGACCTCCACTAGATTTATGATGAGATTACACAACATATTATGGAAGTCATATGCACCACAGAAGACAGGGAAGGTGTAATCACACAAGGTCACCAAGCCCCATGAGATGGGAAACGATCACGCAGACAATAGGCGCAGTCAGTTTGTACACCAGAACCCCTTCGTAGCACTTTCGAAAAACAGGTAGACGAACAGGAGAGAAAAACATACATTCGCGTGTAGTTGACTCAGAAACGTTGGAGTTATCTGAAGCTCCCCGCCATATGCAGCTTTTTATGAAAGAACAAGTCAATTTTAAGTGGTGTAAACTGCGGCTTACAAAAACCGAAATTATGCGCTAGTTTCTCTTTGGAAGTGTGTATGCCAAGATATTCAGGCTAGTTGTGAAATGAAATACTCGATAGTCTGATCGAGTTAGATCTATCGCCAATGAATGACGGAGTGCGAACAATGTCACTGAAGTCCATTTTGAAAAGGTATTAACTTGGAAATTAAGCCCATTGCCACGTTATTAACCAATCAGTTGCTAGTGAACTCACTAACAACTGACACTTGAGACAGTCGAAAAAGTGTATCAACTAGTAATCGTTTGAGTGAAAGCCGAACAGAGAAAACAAAATTGAAACGAACAGTTCTACACTGATCACCGATACAGTAAATGGTGTTCAAAAGTCGTATGGTTTAATTCGGTAGAGGAGCGTACAAACAGTGAAGTAACGAGGTGAGGAGGCACTCGACGTGTTTCTGTGATACTGATATCAAATGTCAAAACTATTTGGAAAGGGGACAGCACAAAGGAAGTTCACTGTATGAATTCAGGCTTCGCGAGGCCTTTCACTATGCACTTAAGTTTCAACCAAAGAGAGTGGAACTTCAAGGCAAATGTCGGGAACCATAAAGGCATTTATGGTGATAACACGCTCCAAAGATTAACAGTTGTAGACCGTAAACAATGGAGGCCGCAACAAAACTTCGTGAAATGCAGAACAAACAGAGGCGTATGAATATACATGTCCCCAATATACGACATTCAACACAACGGACATCATGTTTTTTCCCCGGCAGAACCATTGTAATGCTTTCTGAGGCGAGAGAGAGAGAGAGAGATAAATGTTACACGGACATCGTGATTTAATAAGCAATTCGATCGGAATGTAAAGAAGTTCTCACCATGTGCTAAAGAGAAGACAAACAGCACACATCGTTCTATGTGAAAGCAGTTCGACGAAAAGCTGTTCTCTTTGGGAGTGGGTAAGTAGATCCGGACAGCTGAATGAATCACAAAAAATGTAAAACCATGTGCTTGGACACATGTATCTTAAAAAGATCGTTAGTTGCTTCGAAATTGTCGGATTTGCAGGCCAGTAACCCCAGCTGTGCATGTACCACAGGCAACTAGTTACGGAAGGAACAGAGGAGAGGGCCGGTTCGTGAATCACTAACGAGACCTCAAGTCGTGCATAAGTCTATTCAATTCAAACAATGCGCTATTTTCCCGTTCCCAAATGGCGCGCGCACATATATTGCATCTCTGCAGTCATTAAATTTTATTAATTTCACTTTCGGTCAATGGATCGAATGACGACTGAGGGAAAGATAAATTAAAATGAGACCATGAGCAATGAGAATATCCGTATGGGACAAAGGAAATTAAAAAAAAATCAACCAACAAAACAACGATAAAGATAATAATAATTTTCAAGTTTGATTGGTTGGTAGATTTGAGGAAGTTCCATTTCATCCAGTTATGAAAAGACCATGATCCTCCGCGAGATCCCGAATCACACATTGTTGGATATCATTTAAAACCCTACACAACGCTAGCCCTATCACCTGAGCGACAAAACCTCACTTTTCGCTTTGTTTTATTTTCCACATTTGATTGCTCACCAAACTCGCGGAAGCACGTGAACACATGGGGTAGTAGGGGAGCTGACTGTAACCGCAGGTTTCTCACAGAATCACGAATTTATTTACGTAGATATTTCATTAGTTGTTCTCAGTTTACAGATGTGTGGCTTATTTTAATGTGTGCCTTCAAATTCCACCTAGTAGGTAATACTATTATCTTCGTGCGAACAGGTCCCTTATTCTACTAATTGAGCACACTATGATAATTCGCGGTGCGAAGTCACCGCGAAAAAGAACTGTTATTAGATGATTGCCTTTTCGTGCGTAACGTCTCTGAGCATTGACCGGAGCTGGAAAATTTTGATCTCGAAAGGTAGGATCGAACGTCCGAGCATACAAGCAAGAGTGGTATACTGCTCTGGAAGTGTTCATTTTGTGTACCGCTTAACTTTACCCCCAAGAGTATTACGTCAGCCGGTATTTGTGTAATCCGGGAAACAACACGCCATCCAATAAAATTTAAGCTATTCTGGGCAAATGAAATACTAGATCCACTTATCATACACAGTTCGCTCATTACAGGAACATGATGATTGTATTCTATACTTAAAGTTTTCTTTTTCATTTTATTACATTACATTTTATTGAATATACAAAGTTATTATTTTTAGGAAGGGGGAAGCGGCCAATCAAAGGGCTGCCATTCAGCACACAATGAGGAATGTTGTCGAAAGAGCACGTAATGCTCCTTCGTGGGTCGATCTTAACTTCCGCTATCGAGGAGGATGTACGATGTCCGATATCAGGCAATCGAGGTTGGACACGGACGCACATGCATTACAATTACACGTTATGATATCCGGGTCCGATATTTTTGGGGGAAATACCCCCAGAACATATGCGTATCTCCTGCAAAGCGAAAATCGCGCAACTCCGAGCATTCTTTGTATGTCAAATCATCTCAATAGATAGATCATAAAAGATAGTAGTAAGAAACATCCAAGCACGGAGTTGATCGTTGTACGGACTAGGCTAAAAAACTACCCTAATCAACACTTTCAGTGGAGATAACTCTAATCGACAGATACACCGCATTGATGTAAAAATTAACCGTCAGGGTCATCTTGAAAAGCCTGATCAAGTTGCGCACTCAGGGTTTTAGATTTCGCTAAGTGGATGGTGATGATGATGTTAACGATGGCGTTTTGTATCGGTTTTCAGCTGCCAGGTGACATGCTGACGTATAAAAAAATCCTGATGTGGAACAATATCTTCAGGGAAAGCCATTCGTATGCAGACGGACAGGATAGATCCGTTCGGTTAAATAAACATTTCTTTCTATCACTCAAATTCTGTGGGGACTTACATATCCGAATTACCGGTGGTTTGTTTGCAAAGTTGAGCGAAGATTTCATCCCGCAAACCGACGGTATTCAGTGCCCGATGTACGATAATTGAGCCATAATCCGGTAGACTCAGTCGTGCTTTACGATCACCCATAAAAGATTGAACAACTAAAGCGTGGACAGAAACACAGCAGGGATTTGGATGAGAGACGAACGAAACAGACAAATCAAGTGGGTAAGTGGGTGGTAGAGGGGCTAAAACTAGACTGTGAATCAATTACGAGAACGGAAGAACAAGTGTGGGCATCATAAAGTCTACCCGTCCGTTGCCATGTGCAGAGAGAGAGAGAGAAAGAGTAGCGCACAATGTGAAAGTTGATGACGTGTCAAACTATACAGATGGTAAATAATTTTGCACAACAGAAGTGACACGGAAGGGTACAAAGAAATATCGGGAAAAATATTAATTGACGGAAACGATTCAAACATATGGTGGCCCATGATAAAGGCGAGGGAAAACTGAAGAAACCAGATACGATTATTCCGCTAATCATAAAGCTTCGAATTTCATTTGTATCGCACAAGAGACAATTCAGATGGGAAGGAGATTGCCTTGGGTACGCCCTCAATTTACTGTAGACGCATCCCAACCAGATTTGGGCACGGAACGGATATTGACAAAATCACAGTGGGGCAAGTGAAAAAATGTTTAGGTAATCTAGTCATCGCTTTGGTCAGATTTCGAACAACAAGGACGCGAAGATTCGCAGAAGTGATTGCGAATATTTGCTTGAATCGTGAACGTAGTGTGCGAAAATCCCTACTGATGCAACGAATAGCCTCTATCATGCCATAACTCAACAACTGACACCATCCTTATCAGGGACAACGTACGCTTCCTGTTTTCATATCACGTAACTGATTTGATTGCCTATTTGATCGACTTTATTTTATCTCGTCTAACTGCAACCAAACCAATTGATTTGCAGTTTATCTAAAGACCTGATTCCGTTTTTGATATAACTCGATGAAGAAAGCAATCAATGATTAGACATTTAAAAGTTAAAATCCGACTGTATTTTTTTAATTACTCAATCGTATTTGCCTGGCTCATCTATCGCTGGCACTCGTTATAAAAGAACCAACATTTTTTCATTCTTTCGATTCCAATAACTCTAGCATTTGTTCCAATATCAAATCTTTGCACTCGTACCACCACAAACTTGCAAATTTCCATCTGTGATATTCCTAGAATCCCAATCCCTCCTCACCATTCAAACTCCTTTGGTGTGTATAGACAATTGATTGAGAGCACGCTAAATCGAAGGCAGATTTCAAATATGCTTATTCCGTTTCTGGTTTTGTTCAAATGAATCGGGGGAAACTAACATCTTTGAGATCCGATTTTTGCTGCTTATGAATAGGACTAGACTGACACAGACAAACGTAGACGGAAACCGAAAAAACAATGTACCGACGTATGTTAATTTCACCACACGCCCCTGAGAGGACTGTGGGATCCGACGAGGATGATAGTTCGAAAAACTTTGACAGATTTCATCATTTTCCCTCATAAACGAACAGAGAACATGAAACTGATCCTTAGACAGACATCCATGGTTTGGTCGTGATGAAAAAGGTTGCGAATTCCTAATTGCTCGTGAAAATTGAGCGTCATAAGGGTAAAAAAGGTCACAAAAAGTGAATGCTCCATTAATGTGATCTGAATATATTCCAGCACCGTGAGGGTACACCTCAGTTCCTAACACCAATAACCCATTGAGGCGAGTCTGTTTTGCCAGTGGGCAAACAGTTCAACACCAATGTTCACTGATTTTAATGGTTCAGAAACACACGACGACCCCACAGAGAATCATCCCGAGAAACGCTGTGCCTCGGGCCTCGTTCGGAACGATCCCCCATTGTCTTGGTGGTCAGCTGAGAACATCACTCAGTGCCATAGATAAGGACTTAAAGCGTCTTGGATTACGGTCTATCTACGGCTTCGGTGATCAGACACAAAACGGGGTGATGATCCACGAGGTGCGTAGAGCTGATTTACCCTTTGGCAAAAGAATTGTTAGAGTAAAAAAGACGAGTTTACTATTACGTGTGCTGCAGAGGGAAGGTTGGGAAATACATCATTCTAGAGTATAAATAATCAAATGCCGTAAATATTGGAATATGTGATTTTTTCATCTACCATGTAGCGAATGACAGCAAATGACAGCGGATTTACTTAAAAATAGTGCACTCACTTTTGAAAGTATCAGCCGCCTGTTTCTTCATATTCGGTTCAGTGGAGACTAACAAGCGCTTTGAGAAAGTAGACTGCAGATGGAAATGGAGCGGACGGAATACAGTTGGAATAAATATGTCAGGAGAATACTAGAAGAATACAAACTCGCATAATCCACTCTTAGAACCAGTGCACATACCAAAATTAATCTAACGAGATAATTGCGATGGTTCAGGTCAAAAACAACTACGTTCTGCACTTTTCGTCATCCGACGTAAACAAGGCACCAGTCACTGTAGTCATTAATTACGGTAACATCAAAATAGATTCTGGTTGCCAGCAATAAAACGAAAAGAGAAGTTGACCGTATCGTCATGAACATTGAAACGGAAGTTCTGCACACTTAAAAGCAAAATAAACAAAGCTAAATTTCAAATTATACACAGGGATAAAATGAGAAAACGACACAGTATTAAGAAGCGACCAAAATTCGTGAACTGGACGAAAAAGATGACTGTGATAATTCTATTTGGAAAAGTGTTCTTCTCGTTGATCCTAAAGGACACATTGAACAGTTGGTTCAGTGACGCACGCAGTATGTGAAACAAGGACAGCATGCTCCAAAATTCCAAAAACAATTTATATGAAATTAGTCAGACACGAGATGCGTTGTTCAGCATTGTCCCACAAGCTCAACAGAACTGGAGCGAGAGACAATGTGTAAAACTCATCCGATCTGCTGAGCCCAATATAACGCTGTTGCACGTAGCTCGTGCAAAATGACAACCACAGCAGGACATCTGTGTAGTATTAATCTCTAATGAAAAACCTATCCAGGGGGGTTCTGATTGTCGTCTGTCCTGCTGCATGTCCATCTGTTCTTGTCAGTCAAAGATACCAGCTGATCGAGTGAACCAAAAAATCGATTAGTCCGACACCGTTTCCAGCATTTACTCGGCCATCCATCCATTCATCTAACAAGCTACCAGGTATATCCCACCCCACTTCGAGGCAGTCGTCTGTGCTAGATTATATGTATATGAGTGTGTGTGTGTGTGTGTGTGTATACGTATGCGCACAGTCGAAAAGCACGCATTTTGACCATTATATGTGACTGAACTAAGGAAAATCAAACAAGCGTGCATTAAACATCAGCAAATTGGGACAGACCCATCAAAACAGTTGTTGGCATTCGAAGGACATAGCCAAATTTAAAAAGAGAGAAACATTATGCATGGATCGACGACCGAATTCACCAGCAACGGAAACAGAATAAGTCTACAGAAAAACAAAAACGTAGGTACGTTGGACTCAGTGAGGTATTTTAAAATTCACAATTGACACGTAGGATGCATGTAAGGAAGTAGGCAAAGCGAATACACATTTCAGCACTGTGAAATTTGATCGCTTTGTCTGCCAGTTAGAACAGATTATAAAATTTCTGCACAAGATGGAACGAGGCACACTAGAAGCGATGAGACTGTCAGATTGTGAGACTACTTATTCAACGTATTTGTCGCTCCCTGAGTGGATTTATCCTGAAACTGAACAGTTTCTCCCTGTTCTACCGCACCCGTGCAAATCACACAGATCGTACTTGATTTCGAATGATCAGTTTCATAGAATTATAGCACTCATCAGTGGGATTCTACCGAAAAATTGATTTATAACATCGAATAAGGGAGCTTTCTTTCCATGCGAAAAGTAATTGAAGAATATTCAAAACAGTCTAAAGAAAGAAAAAACAAAAGTCCGCTAAAAAAACTCCTAAATCAAGTCCAAACTCCGCTTTTATATCCATTAATATATTCATAAATTTGTTAAGCGGTTGTGATATATGTCAGCCCTGTAACTTTCTACCTTAAAGTAAGATGAACAACGCACAGCGCAGATAGCCACGAAACCACCATTCGAAAAAGATTCTTAGCTGAAAATGAAATTTTGCTACATCTAACTTAACCAAAGTTTCGTTACATGAACCGCAGCCTAAATATGAGCAGGAGCTGACTGAGGAAAACAATTTCTAAGGCATTAAGGCATTTCACAAATCATCTATTTCCGGAGTGAGAACTGAACCCGATAATTGACCATAGCTATACAGAGTTCACCTCACCTTGGTCCAGCTCATCAGTGAAGACACATCCTGATCTGGTTTAAACAGTGTACGGGGCCAATCGAACGGAGCGATGAAGCTGGGGAACTGTGGATGTCCCGGCTGAACGAGAGTGAATAACGGCACAGAAGGAGTACCGACACGATCCCGATCGGAAGTGGAATACCACACACTATCATTCAACTCCTCAGGACCAATAAATCCACCCGAGGGAGATCGATGTAGCACCGCGGCCGTGTTACCACTGTTTCCTGTACTTGTTGTCCCGATTGAAATGGGTGTCTCACCGGCTGGATGCACTGCAGGCGCAAGAGGTTGAGACTGTAGCTCACAATCCGAGGTGGGCACGGTTTGACTATGTTCGGCGCGTAATTTCTCCAGATCCCATGTGGCTGTAGAATGCGAAACCCAAGTGGTCGCCGTGGATGGTGAAGTAGCCCCGGTGGGGCCATTACCGCTGCCGCCAATGCTGCACAGCTCAACACCGGTAGAAGGTAACAGAGGTGAACTGGTCGAGCTCAATCGATTAGTCGCGTTGGGTGCACCAACGTTCGCATTGGAGGCATAGTTCACCGATGCCTCATGCACAGGGCCATCGAATTGGTGTAAATCTAAAGAAAGGAAAACTGGTTTTAGATAATTTTTGTTTTGAGGTTGAGTTGAAATTCGCATCCAGGATGCATTATAAGAGGGGGAAAAATTCTGGCAATTTCCCTCACTCAGAAGCAATAATAACCTCAGCGGCTCTCGTAGAAGGTAATGAAGTTTTACGATCAACTTCGAACCGTTTCCTTTCGGGACTGTTCAGTTAATTGTACAACGCTAGTGAATACGGAATCCCTATCCCGTCCGTCACAGCGCTGAATTGGAACATCGCGTACAACCTATTTTATTGAGATCCAGGTGACCCGTCAGTCCATGTCCTCAGGTTTGCATTACTGCCGGTTCTATTAAAAAACTGAACCCTAGTAACTGAACTGTTAACCCGATTTAAAAAAGAACTTACAGAAAATAACATCGGAAATCAGAGGGCTGCAAACCAAAAGCTCATCTGATGAAGTTCTGAACCAGAGGTAATATTTGGACACAGATGGGGTATATACGAATTCTTTCCACTGGAAATGTTATTCAGCCTACATGGTCAAGTATGACCAAAAGAAAGAAATCAATGTGGACGGAAAGAAAGTTCGACAGACAGTGGTAGTATAAAGTGTTCTGGCAGGTGCAACGTGATGAACAGTAAAGGATCTGTAAGTTGCATCAATACCGTCATCACGACAGCTTCCGAGAGCCTGAATACAGTCGCAGGTGGGTACCTTGGATTGTGAATGGACACTCCTCCTTTACACTTCTAGANTCTAGATCCCGTACCGCACGAACAAGTAACTCTGGCGGGAAAGCCCTAATCGCTGTCTTCCCTTGCCGGTGTTTTCCGCCAGAGAGGAAGGACGAAAAGCCAACACCCGGTAGATGAACCACCCGAAGTTCACAGTGATTTGTTTGACATAAATGTGAAATGATGTAGACAGGCACAAAAAACGCCATGCAGTACAACACGGCTCGTATCATGTTTCGCGTGCGCTTCCCTCCCTTTCCACATTTTGTTTGTCATAAATGTGTTCAGGCACGCGAGTGGCTCAGGACGGAACAGTCGAACAGTGATCATCAATTGCGCACACGGAAATATGCAACGGGACATGAACACATACCGGTTGGAACAAGCGTACGAATGAACTCTGATGGTACGGTATGCAACTGTGTTGTGAGAACGTCCTCCTTATCAAAGACCCTTCAATACCTGGTCTAACACAAATCAGCGTTCCGTTTCTCACAACCGAATGGTGCATACGAATCGTTGTTTGATTGAAATTTCAACCAAAACTAATCACAATGTAAAATTGTAAATGTAAATGTAAATTTACGACATCCAGTGGGTTAGTGGACCTTGTCACTACAGTACTGTATGCTCGATGATGAGGTTGGAATCGGCAGCGAGGTGATAAAAATTTATTGAAAATCACATGAACAGATTCAGCTTGCATTTGGTAAAACAATTATCCATGCACTTTCACGTGCCGGTTTTGGTTGCTGTCTTTTGGCTGCTCATTTGGATGAAGCAGTAGGAGAAGGATAGGAAAGTCGTAGTAGAGTTGAAGAGAGAATGGAGAATTTCAGTGGACTAAGGTTGCAAAGAAATTGAGAAGATGCCACACAACTAGACTGTTGACGCAGTTCCAAGATCACTAGTTGATAGAGGAATCGTAGTATGCCCTACATCAACCAATAAAATTTTCCGATATTAAATTCCCATTCAGGGGGGAAATAACACGGATTCAGCATTAATTTCAATGAATGCATTTTCTCCACAACCCTCAAGCTGATTATTGTGAAACAAAAACACCTCTATTCAGAAAATCCGAAACTAAGATTAGAGACCTTTGAACAAACCGAAAAACTTACAGTAAATTGTTGTTGGACCGGACATCGGATAGGGCGGTCGAGTTTGATAAATGAATGGTGGTGGACGTCTATGGTTCGGAGGAATCACATTGGCTCGAGTCGGATCTTTCCGCGATAGGGACGATACAGCGCGACCTTCACCGAGCAATGGACCATCGATATGGGGTATGTGTTGTTGTACCATATATTGTGGGTAACGGGGATAATACAACGCATAGGGTCGTTGAGTCAGTGCATAGGGATCGGAACGGACTAACATATCACCTTGCGCTAATCGATAGAAATCGGAGGTACAGTGTTGCAAAACTCGGTTGGGGCCCAACGTTGAAGCAGACCGAGGGGGTGGAATCGGGGGTTGATCGAGGTCGATGTTACTGTCTATCTTGTTCGGTTCAGGTGAAACGGGATATAGGGGCTGTTGTTGCTGTAACTGTTGGTGTGGCTGCTGCTGGAACGGATTGAATTCAACGGATTTGTTTTCCTGATTTAGACTGGCCCGTCGTGGTGCCGGATAGGCATGAATAACTGAATCCAGAAGTTGATCAGGAGCTGAATGTACAACGTGTTTGTTCTCTTCCGAGTCCGTATTGGTCAGAGCAGTTCCGGATGATGCGCGTGAGAAAGAGGAGGACGAAGAAGTTGAGGATGAGGAAGAGGATGGTTGGGGAGAGATAGAGGCAGGACTATTGCTGTTGTGATGGTTGTCCTTACTATTGCCAGGCATTAATGACTTAGCACCCTGTTCATAATTAATTGTCGTTGTTGTAGGCACATGGTTTGTTCGGGTATAGGGAAAATCGGGTGAGGATGGATCTTCAAGGGATTTGTTCGAAGAATCTTTTGTGTCCTTCAATGGACTAGATGCGTTATCCAAACCGCTGGATGCGTTTGGAACGGTGATTCGAAGATCTGTGTTTGAGAAATGCACTACATTGAACGTTGGAGTTCGCTGAACGGCCGGTGTAGAATTTCGTTGCTCACTCTTGTTCGAGCCGGTGTTTACACTTGAATAACCGGTATTTGTTGGACGATCAAGCGTAGTTGCTGAAAATCGAGCAGATCTTGAATTTGTTCCACCTGGAACAGATCGGGAAACCGTTGGATTGGTACGAGGGAAAGAGCGTTGGCGTGTACTAACACCGACAGTGTCGAGGTTCAGGCCAGCCACAACGGGATATGCACTGCGTTCACTCTGATGCATTATGTTCTGCTCCGGCCGTTGTGGTCTCTGTTGATGCCCGTTATAGCATTGAGACTGGTTGCCGTTTTCGCGATATACATCAGACCTTTCTGTGGCGGTGGAATTCGATTGTGGGGACGCTGGTGAATCGCATTCCAGGTTCCCTTTTACCCGAGGATCATCAGTTTTATCCGACACAGATGACGGTGTGAGAGATTTGCGTGTATCTCCCTGACCGATAGATGGTCCTGAAATGGAATGAAAATCTCGTTGGGCACGAGAAATTTCTGAACTGTGCCGTAGCTGTTCAGGGTTCCAGGAACCCAACACATCTGGCTTTGTGGGTCCCACGCGGGAGGCGGCAGTATCACCCATACCTCGTGGAAGCATTTTCCCCTGTTCAGTCGATTCCAACGTCACATTCTCGACATTTGGGGTCAAAGCTGACGGGGATGAATGATCCGTTGGTGGTCCCACAGGGACATTGTTGGGATTAGCCAGACTGTGGATTCGACGAGCCGGACGATCTGATAAACAGCCGGAATTTTTCCTTTCCGAGTTTTCCATGGCAGACTGGCTTTGTGTGTCCATAACATCAACAGCAGAATGCTCCCAGGCTACCCCGGCTTCACGTAACCAATCTCTCACCCGTTGATTTCCATACGGACGATACGCAGTGTTGACATTTTGCGTGGAAAGCCGATGAGATTGATCAACAGCTAAATTACCGGGATCGACTGGAACTCGACGAGGTGCGGGTTCTTCACAATTTGGCCGGTCACGTGGCTCGTTACGATTGGACTGATCTGCATCAGAGTTCGGTCGACAGCTGCTTTCGAGGATCGACGTGGGCGCTTTCCGGTTATGTAATCTCCGACTCCCGGCCGCATTGGAAATCTTGGAATTTGAACGGCGAAGGACTCCAATATCCTAAGAAGGGCCGAGAAAGAAATCCGTACGTCAACTCTTGGAAGGATGATACTGCTAGTAAATTTTGTATAACAAAATGTTATGATGTTACTAATTAACATGATAGATGTACAGCAAACTGCGTGAAATTAGTGAAGACCAAAATTAAAAGAAATATGGCCGAAGATGAATTCGAGGTTGGTATCAACCGCAGACTTTGATCCATTAGAAAAGGACAAACGGAATATTATTGGATTCATCGGCAATCGGCTCCCAAAATGTCTACAGTAACGAGCGACTCGGCTTAGTCACATTCTGCTTAATTATTCGAAGTGAAGAAAATTACAGAATGAACCAACTGCCCTAAAATCAAATTTATGCAAAAATTTCGATTAGATAAATTAAGAATACTATTGCGAAAAGTGTCTTAGAATAGTTCACTACCCACAACTGGTGCACCCCACACCATCGAGAGAAAACGATGAGGATAAGATAGTAAAAACATGAAGAAATGTATCGCATGTAGATATCCGAGAAGTACATGCACGCTGTCTCAGTGAAGTTGAAAAGTCGTGTACATTGTGCTACCGTTAGATCAACTTTACTTTATAGTCATGAGATACAGAATTTGTGAACAAAAGATATTCATCGACTAGAATTACCAATTGTCAGTTCTCATATAGTTCAGTACATGTGATACGGAGTGATTGGGTTAGTAATTTGTGTTTAGCAGTTTATCGGGGATGAATCTTCCAGCGCATTGAACTCAGATCAGTAGACTTCGCTGGTTAGATCATGCATTACGCATTACGTTGAGTAGCAAGAAACCGATGTGCGTCAAAAGAAGACTAATTACATAACTAAGTGATGAAATTAATTCTTATGGGAGTTCGAAGTCCATAACGCGATCAGAAAACACAGTGCTTGGTCACAC